TGCATATGACCTACAGAGTGATGTGAGTATGAATCCATGAATTTATAGTTTGGAAAGTTTGTTAATTAGTTTGCCTGTCTTTTTATTTCGTGTTGTTCATGCTACCAACTGGGCCAGGAATTCAATTTTGCATTACTGTGCTTCATAGGCTGTCTACAAAGCTGACCTGAAGTGGCTCCAGGGTTTGGGCTGGGTTCCAATTGGCTCACTTGACGTGGAGAAAGCCAAGAAGGCCGCAGAAGCCTTGAGTGATATAAAGTACCGCCAGCACCCCAGCACTTTTCCCTTTACCAGCACCACAGATGCCATGAACATCGTACTGGCAAAGAATAACGCTTTGACCATGAACAAGGTAGAATTCATCTTTTTGTTTTGTGTGAAATACAAATTTATTTTTGTGTGAAAAGGCTTATAGTACATAGATGTCTCTCTAGAGATCTTTTAATTACCATTATCATTAACACTTGAATTTTTTGTGGTTTGTTCCAGCGTCTCTACGTTGAGGCATGGGAGAAAGATAAGACCCACCTGCACATTAACCCTGATACTCCTGAGATCATCCTCTCTCAGCAGAATGCTATCAACATGAGCAGGGTTAGTATAATTTTTATTGCCTATGAAAGAAGATGATATGTGATCTTGGCTATCTCTATGTGATCAAGACTGGTTGGAGGTTATGTTGAAGGTGTGAAAATCTTTTAATGTTAAGATCATTTTTGTAGAATTTGGAAACCCACCTGTTGGTGTTTGCTTATCAACCACCTTAAGCCTCATTCAGGTTACTCTCAACTAAGCAGCCGAGTGAGATTCTTACAGTGGATTTTACAAATGTGACCCCTTGAGCAAAATCCTACTTGAAACCTTACAAGCCTGAAGCTTTCCAGAATTACCTCCCATAATTTGTTAGAACAATTTACACAAGTATTCATATACAGTATGTCTTACTTTTCAGTCACTATACAGACAAGGTTTTGAGGCCACCATCAAGAAAGGCTATTTCCTCCCTGGGGATGCAATCTCTGTCAAGTCTGCTAAGGCCTCCAGGGACATCGTCAGTGATGTGAGTGACTTACAATGTACCATATGCTGTATCTGTTTATATGTTTGATGCACTGGTATTAGACATAATATGAGAGATGTTCTAGTTATAACATAAAATCTTTTTTGCCGATATCATCAGTACAAGTACAAGACAGGATACCGTAAGCAGGTCGGCCACCACATCGGTGCTCGCTGCGTCGAGGACGACCCTCTGCTCATGCTGGCTCTGAACTCAGCCAAGATTGCCAGTGATGCCCTGTACAAGAAGGACTTCAACAAGTCCAAGACCAAGTTCAATCTTCCAGTGGACATGTTGCGTCTTGAACTGGCCAAGAAGAACCAGATTCAGGTCAACCACGCCAACTACATCACCCGCCTCCACCAGTGGACTTGTCTGCCAGACTCCAATGATGTTGTCCAGGCCAGGAAAGCCTACGATCTTCAGAGTGATGTGAGCCCTTCTATGACATATTCAACATATCTCAACATATGATGCCCATGTTGACTGTGCTTATGAATTTTAATGTTACATATTTACACCTTTTTCCTAACAGGCTGTATACAAAGCTGACATGGATGAGATTGTGGGTGTGGGATGGGTCCCCATTGGTTCACTCGATGTGCTGAAGGCTAAGCATGCTTCAAACATTCTCAGCGACCGTCTCTACAAGCAGACACCAGACAAGATGAAATATAAAAGTGACATGACTTCCATGCCCATGGTCTTAGCCAAAGCAAATGCTGACATCAAAAACAGGGTAAATAATATCATATCCCTCTTTTAAAACTATGGCACATGTGTTCTCCTATCTTTTCCTGGTTATTACAATTTGTGTTTTTATTCTTTCTCTGTCTCTCACCACAGAAAAACTACATTGCTGCTTGGGAGGCTGACAAGATTAAGATTCATATAACCCCTGACCTACCTGAACTTTTGCTTTCTAAAGCAAATGCTTACAACATTAGCAGAGTATGTTTAATCTGTTCTGACTTAAACAAGTATTCTGCATTAATTTCAGTAAATATCACTGTTACAGTTTCATTTTATAATTCAACTATTTTCATTTCTTTTTCAGAAACTATACAGGGAAGGTGTTGAAGAGATGTTTAGAAAGGGCTACGACATTAAGGCTGATGCTGTCTCTATTGTCGCTGCCAAACATGGAAGAGAGATCATCAGTGATGTATGTAACATGTAAATGAGTGCTTTTCTCTCTAATATTGACGTACATTATTTATTTTACTTTTATTTTATCATCACTTCACTGTTTCTCTCTACACAGTACAAATACAAGACAGGATACCGTAAACAGGTCGGCCACCACATCGGAGCCCTCAGTGTCCACGATGACCCTCTGATCATGCTGGCTCTGAACTCAGCCAAGATTGCCAGTGATGCCCTGTACAAGAAGGACTTCAACAAGTCCAAGACCAAGTTCCACCTGCCGGTGGACATGCTCAATCTTGAACTTGCCAAGAAATGCCAGATCCAAGTTAACGATTTCAACTACAGAACTCATCTGCACAACTGGACCTGTTTACCTGACTCCAATGATGTAGTCCAGGCCAGAAAGGCTTATGACCTGCAAAGTGATGTGAGTCATGAGAGTTTCTTGTGTTTCCTGAACACTACAAGGACAGGTTATTATTCAAAAAGAAAACCCAATGTAACTCCCCTTTTCCTCCCTTTGTGACTTGCAGGCTGTGTACAAGGCTGACATGGAATGGGTCAGGGGAACAGGTTGGGTGCCAATTGGTTCAGTTGATGTGGAGAAAGCCAAGAAAGCAGCAGAGATCCTGAGCGAGAGGAAGTACCGTCAGCATCCCAGCATTTTCAAATTCACTGCCAAAACAAGTGACATGCCATATGCCCTTGCCCAGGCCAATGCCCACACCATGGACAAGGTAGAGATAGCACTTTATTTATTGATCCTTTACAATATTATTATTTTTTTTTTTTTAGGTTTTCTAAACTGTGTTTTTTCCGTTTACAGAAAGCGTATCTTTCTGCCTGGGAGAAGGATAAGACCAATCTTCACATCATGCCTGACACCCCAGAGATCGTCCTGGCCAGACAGAATAAGCTCAACACCAGTCTGGTAATGCAATGCTTCTTTATGTGGTTGTATAGTCAATTAGGACATTACAGGTTATTGTCATATCAGTAATTGTTAACTTGCTTTACTATCTTAATAAGTTGATTGTGCAAAAGTTTAAAGAATGAATGACATTATCACATAGATGTCGAATGCCATAGATAATGTATTTTTTTATTGTGTGTGGTCACAGCATCATTCTTGTTTCCCCAGAAATATTACCGTGAAGGCTTTATGGACACCATAAACAAAGGCTACTATCTTCCCAAAGATGCTATTTCTGTTTTAGCAGCCAGGGCCTCCAGAGACATCATCAGTGATGTAAGTCTGCACAACTCTTTTAAACGTTTTCATATTCCCTTCATTTTGTAATTCTGCAGCATTTCCCTTATTTTACTGTAGTTTGTATTATGAAACTAATCAAAATATTTCCATCCAAAATATTTAGTACAAATACAAGGCTGGTTTCCGCAAGCAGTGTGGCCATCACATCGGTGCCCTCAGTGTTAACGACGACCCACTGATTATGTTGGCCGCTAATGCAGCCAGGATTTCCAGTGACAACATTTATAAGAAGGACTTCAACAAGACCAAGACCAAGTTCCACCTGCCAGTGGACATGCTGACAATTGAACTTGCCAAGAAATGCCAGCAGCAAGTGAACGACTTCAACTACAGAACTCGCTTACACCAATGGACCTGTCTGCCAGACTCCACTGATGTGGTTCAGGCAAGAAAGGCCTACGACTTAAAGAGTGACGTAAGTACATGTAAAGTTTAGCAGACGTGTGTAGAGTTGATGTGGAGAGGATTGTTTGGAGTTTGTTGTAAGCTCCTATTCTACTCATTTGTCACACTGAAAAGCATCATTACTGTAATGAAAATTTCCTTAACACTACTTCCTTAATACATTGACTAGATATTCCAGTCCACTCTTATGTAAAGAATTAACTAAGTTAGACGGTTTTTTTTTTGTTTATTGTGTATAAATCTGTATAAATTGTATCTGTTCTTTTGTGTAGATAAATTCACTGTTTACATATTTATAGAACATAACATTCTGTGGGTCTAAAAAGATTAGTGAATATGATCAGAAATGCTAGCGGTGGCTGAGAACTTAAATAATAATGCAGTGAAAGTTCTTGACCATGTAAACACATTCTTCATAGATATTTAGATCACTCCATAACATTTTTAACCCAGAGCTGCATCCAACAAATTTAATGGAAATCAGTCAGACAAATTTAAAACCTACAAGAACAACGGTATTAGGTGGGGCTAAAACTGGTATTTGTTTTTCAGGCCGTATACAAAGCAGATATGGAGTGGCTGAGAGGATGCGGCTGGTCACCTCAGGATTCTGTGGACGTCATCAAAGCTAGAAATGCCCAAACTATTCTCAACGAAAGGCTCTACCGCCAACCCCCCAGCACCGTGAAGTTCACCAGTGTTGTCGACCTCCCGGCTATTGTCTTGTCCAAGCAAAATGCTGACAACATCAGTGATGTGAGTAATAGCATCTTTCTGCATCACAAATGCTTTGTGAAATTAAAATGTATGCTAAATTATTAATTAAAATAATTCTTGCAAATGTCTGTATAAAGGACGGTGCCAAAGTAAAAAAAGTTAATAATCCTTCTGTTTTTTTCTTCTTGACAGAGGAAATATAAGGAAGTCTGGGAAAAAGACAAGCTCTCCATTCACCTGCCACCTGACACCCCCACCCTTGAACTGTCCAAAGCCAATGCTGTTAACATCAGCAATGTAAGTGTGTATTAAGCAATGTTACCAATATAGCCTATGTTGAAATGCTTGGAAGTTGAAATGTATTATTCAGTCAGTAAATGATTACTGTGATTTTGATGTACTGACACCACTCGAGTCTTCTTGATCATACTTCTTGTTCTTTGCAGAAACTGTACACAAAGGCCTGGGATGACCAGAAGGCCAAAGGCTACCATATCAAGGAGGATGCGATCTCTGTGCTGAAAGCTAGAGCTTCCAGAGATATCATTAGTGACGTAAGAAATAAAAATATGGAAAAGGTTTAAATACGATAGATTTGTAAATAAGTTTTCGCTAACATTTTGTCTCTCTTTTAGTACAAGTACCATGGGGCATACCGTAAGCAGGTCGGCCACCACATCGGAGCTCGCTGCGTGCAAGATGACCCTCTGATCATGCTGGCTCTGAACTCAGCCAAGATTGCCAGTGATGCCCTGTACAAGAAGGACTTCAACAAGTCCAAGACCAAGTTCCACCTGCCGGTGGACATGCTCAATCTTGAACTTGCCAAGAAATGCCAGATCCAAGTTAACGATTTCAACTACAGAACTCATCTGCACAACTGGACCTGTTTACCTGACTCCAATGACGTAGTCCAGGCCAGAAAGGCCTATGATCTACAGAGTGATGTAGGTTTATAGTAAGGCTGTCGAATAGTATTCATTCAAATTAACTATTGTTACAATCAATCAAATATTTCTTGGATCTTTTGATGATATGTAAATATACTGTATTATGCTGTATTTTAGCCCAAGAAACACTCACATTTTGAACAGTGTCTTTATATTTAATGTCATGGAAGCACACAAACAAATCTCCCTGTTTTGTGTCCTCAGGCTGTGTACAAAGCTGATATGGAGTGGATACGTGGATGTGGATGGATACCACATGAGTCTGTGGATGTCATGAAGGTGAAGCATGCACAGAAGGTCCTGGCTGATGTAAGTTTGACGACAGTTTGACTCTAGTTATTTGTAAAATCACAGACATTTTTATTTGTAAAATATCTTTAGAGTTCATTTAAGCCATACAAAATTCATGTATATCTAAATTTGCTAAATTATTGTTCCATTTCCTACAGAGAGGCTATCGTGTCAAGTTGGATGAACAGAAATACACAGTTCCAACTGACAGAGTCGACATTGTCTGTGCCAAGAATGCTGCTGATGTCCTCAATGAGGTGAGGATGACTCTCTACTATCCCGATGCTGCTTTGATATGTTTTGAGTCCTCTTCTCAGTTAAACCAAGTGACAAGATTAGCGGCAGTTTTTTGATTTGTTCGGAATGTTTTTAATAACTGAATTTTCATTTCTCACACTACTCAGGCCAAATATCGTGAAGCCTGGCACCAGGACAAGACAAAGTACTCACTGGTGGACACTCCAAGTCTTGCCACAGCCAGAGAGGTGGCTAAGAATGTTCACCCGGTAAGATGACTCGTCATGGGAATGGAAATATGTAGCAAATTCAAGTCAAAGTCAAAAATTGTACCAATTTTATCCTGTGTTATTATCGGCATCATAGCATTACATAATCATAAACCTTTAACAACTATTTACATTTTTTGTGCAGAAACTGTACACCAAAGCTTGGGATAAGGTCAAAGCCACAGGCTACTTCATGCCCGGAGATGCTGTACCAATCAAGCAGTGCATACACACAACTAAAGTGCAGAGTCAGGTGAGTAGTGGGACAAAGTTACACCTTCCTTTCATAATAACAGCTTTCATTGAAGTTGTTCCTAATTTACAATATGGAAAGAATTATAATGATTTATGTCTGCTGTGCAGCATAAGTACCTTGAGGGATACCGTAAGCAGGTGGGCCACCACATCGGTGCTCGCTGCGTTGAGGACGACCCTCTGCTCGTGCTGGCTCTGAACTCAGCCAGGATTGCCAGTGATGCCCTGTACAAGAAGGACTTCAACAAGTCCAAGACCAAGTTCAACCTGCCGGTGGACATGCTGCAGTTTGAGCTGGCCAAGAAATGCCAGAGGCAAGTCAATGATGACAACTACAGAACCCGCCTGCACCAGTGGACTTGTCTGCCAGACCAGAGCGATGTCATCCAAGCCCGCAAAGCCTACGATCTCCAAAGCAATGTGAGTGCTTATCACACCAACCTAGGACTTATTTGTCATATTTATAAATTGACAGAATCTTCTATTTTCCTAACGTGTATCTTTGTTTCTGTCTTCAGAATGTGTATAAGGCTGATTTGGAATGGATTCGAGGCTGTGGCTGGATGGCAGCTGACTCTGTGGACCACGTCAAGGTCAAGAAGGCCCAGGAGATCCTCAACGAAGTACGTTTCATGTATTGCATTAAGACTTTTCATTTGTCTATTTTTCCTTCAGCACATTTGTCCCATTTGTGTATCAGTTCATTGTGTCTCACCTTGATGCTGTTATTTTACTTGCAGAGGCTCTACAAGAAGAATGCCAAAGAATGCTTTGGAAAATTCACCCTGATTGTCGACCGCCCCGAGATTGTCTTGGCAAAGATAAATGCTGCCAACCTTAGTGATGTATGTAAAAAATCTAACTGCAACATTTTAAAGAGGAACATTAATAAACAATAATCCAATCTAAAATCTTTTTTTTTTCCCTACTGTAGCTGAAGTACAAAGAGACATTCAATGCGGAAAAGGGTCAATACATTGGTTCAGAGGACACTCCTCAACTGGCCCACAGCAGGGAGGTGTCTAAGATCATCAGTGAGGTAATGTAAAATATTTAGCTCTTCAGCTCAAATTCATTCATTTCTTCTTTAATTTGTGATATTTTTTGACTGTATATCACATACTATGCCAGCCTAACCTTAAACGTTGTCCCTGTGCGATTTCAGAAACTCTACAAATTGGATTGGGATGAGTCTAAGGCTACAGGCTACCAGCTGGACCAGCAATACATCCCACTTCTCAGCGGCAAGAAGGGCAGGGAGATTGCTAGTGATGTGAGTGTCTTACGCTTCTTTATAGTGCTGACAAGACAAAATCACAGAATCATATTTTCTGCTTACAGTATGTAGAACTAAATTGATACTTTTATTATTCTGGATCGTACTAGGCCAAGTACAAGGATGCCCATGAGAAGGCCAAGGGTCACTACATGGCTGGTACACTGGTGGACTTCCCTGAGGTGATGCGCTGTGGACAGCAGGAGAAGAACAAGGGACAGGTGAGATATCGATGAGGAGTATGGACACAAGCTGTGTGGCTTGCAAATCTTTTTCATGTAGCATTTTTAAGCATTTTAATTTGTTTTATGACTAGAGATTCTAATTGAATTTGTTACAATCTGCATAAACTGTATTTTAGGTGAATTTGTTTTTACATTGTTAACGACAGTGCCAATAACTTTTAATGGGGTGCATGTCTTCACAGAGGCTCTACCAGAAGGACTACCATCAGACCAAGACCAAAACCCACCTCCCACCCGACATCATCGCTAACAAGGTAGCCAAGCGCTGCCAGGACATGCTGAGCGATGTCCTCTACCGTACATACCTGCACCAGTGGACTTGCCATCCTGACCAGGAGGACGCCATTCGTGCCCGCAAGACCAACGAGATTCTCAGCGATGTAGGTCCTTCTTCTTCTTCAGTGCACATCTGCTGCATGTGCTTGATTATTGTGCAGGCGATTGGATAAAAAAACTTTGAACTGTTTTAAAATTTTATGTTAAAAATCCAAAGAGTCTATACAATAACAACATAACCGTCTATATGTATATATTTATTTGATAAACCACATTCATATTTAAGGTCTTTAAAAATTGAGAGCTATTGTAGGAGCAGTTACAACCACAATTTTTTTGATAAGCAACTTTATCCCAAGATAAATGTTTATTGCACAACATTAGATGTCAACTTGGTATACAGTATATACTATAAAAGATGTATCTGTTTACAAGCAAGACATTGCACAAAAATCCAGATGTTCTCCATTATTGAACATGTGCTTTCTGTTTTCTGTCATTTAATAGGTGTTCTACAAGGATGACCTGAACTGGATGAAGGGTATTGGTTGCTATGTCTGGGACACACCAGAAATCATTCGTGCCAAGAAGTCCTATGAGCTGCAGAGCGAAGTGAGTAACAACACAGAAGATTACAATTATTATGTGGTTTATTGATAATGTTATTTTGAGAACCATTCGGGTATTTAGAAAATAATTAAATTTTTCAATTTGTGGAACTGTGATTTACCCATGCAATATCTGCCCTTACAGCTTAAATACAGAGATGAAGCCAAGAAAGAATTCAACAATTACTCCATTGTGACAGACACCCCAGTTTATGTGACTGCCGTCCTGGGTCACACTTGGGCCAGTGATGTGAGTAAGCTGGACTTTTAAAAACATATAGTGTTTGAGTTCAAGATGCCTAATTGAGTGCATTAATGAAACAATTGTCATTGTTAGCTCAACTACAGGGAGGCCTATCATAAGGAGAAGCACCTGTATACTACCGTTCTGGATACCTACGACTATGCCAGATGCCACAACTTCAAACACTTCTTCAGCAACGTAAGTGAAGATAAACATTTCTCTCTTTCACTCAGTAACAAAATTTAATATATCAGCGTTTCATATGTAACAACGTCTTGATAATGTTCTGGCTTTTCTTTCAACAGAAAAACTACACTGATGCCTGGGACAAAGTCAAGGCCAAGAGCTACCAGATTCCACATGACTCACACGCCCTGCAACATGCCAAAATCCAGAAAGTCATCCTCAGCGGCGTGAGTTCAATTCAAGTCAATTTTAAGTTCTGTTCATTTCCTTCAGTGTTATTAATATGCTGGTATTTTCTTCACATTGGCCTTTAAGACACTATATGAATCCTCTTGCCCCTTTAGGTGAAGTACAAGGAGGATTATGAGAAGTTCAAATCCCTCTACAGTCTGCCTAAGTCTCTTGAGGACGACCCTGCCACTGCTCGCTGCGTCAAAGCTGGGAAGCTTGTCCTGGATGTAAGTAGATTAGTCATCTCCCATTTCTGTATTTTTCTTTTAATGTGGAATATAGGAAGTGCACTGATTAGCTCAGTTTTAACAAACAAGCAGCTAAAATGGATCAGACTCTGTAGCTTTTTGTGGACCCATAATGCCACAACTGAAAGCCAAATGTAAAGAAAATTTGTTGTCCATCTTTATAGCGTCTGTACAAGGAGAACTATGAGAAGACCAAGGCCAAGAACCATATCCCACCAGACATGCTGGAGATCCTGTCTGCCCGCAACACCCAGAAAACTGTCAGTGGCATCCACTACCGCAAGTATCTGCATCAGTGGATATGCCTCCCAGACATGCAGGTGTACGTCCAAGCCCGCAAAGTCAACGAGCAGCTCAGTGATGTGAGTAACTGCCCTCAGCTTGATATTCTGTACTTTTTGCAGCGTGGCCTCAGTAATTACAGAGGTACAACCACAGCCTTGCCTATATTTTGTCGGTTATATTATTATGATACTATGTCTTCTTATATAACATTATTTTTTATAAGATCTAAATATAGTAAATGGAAAAAATTATAGTATTAGACTTTAATTGAATAGAATCCAAAGATAAGTCAATTTTGGAGCCTTGATAGATATGGTGGGGTTTTTTTCTTGTTTTTCTTTTGCGTATAAAGTGTGTATACTTTTTGAATCCATATAGCATATGAAAAAGGCTCAGATTGTTGATGAATTGCAATACCAACACGTCTGCCAACATCACTTAACTTGTATATTTTGTTGTGTGCTCTACCCAGATCTTCTACAAGGATGACCTGAACTGGCTGAAGGGTATTGGCTGCTATGCCTGGGACACACCAGAGATCCTCCGTGTCAAGCACGCTGACAACCTTCAGAGTGAGGTTAGTCTAGCCAATATATTTATTCTAATATATTTATCCATTCTTCATTCTCATCAGTTATTTGGTTTACAACGGTCTACTGTCAACTGTCTTGCCACTGTTTTTTTAATTTCTTCTTCTCTTTGGCACTCAAACAAGTGACGCTGATGGTCCTGTTCTTGTGTTTTTATTCCAGAACAAGTACAGAGCCAAAGGTATCGAGGCTTTCAAGGAGTATTCAGTGGTGACAGACACTCCAGTGTACGAGACAGCCAAGCAGAATGCTCAGAACCTGAGCGATGTAAGTGACTGTTCTAAACAATGTTGGCTCATGGCTATATTTCATTTACAAAAAATCTAAAAAGGACTAAAATCTGATATTTTTTTCTTCTCTTCTTTTCCAGCTGCACTACCGCTATGATTACAATGCCAGCATCAAGGGAACCAACACTTCTCCTGCTGTTACCATCGACACAGAAAGGGCACGCCTGGCTAACTACATCCAGAGTGATGTAAGATAATATTCATGAATATTCATTGTACTTGTTTAGAAATTTTCATCACGTATGTACAGTGTGTATACTGTATAGAATTTTCTTTTTTAATCTGGATAGAAGAAGGACCATGTAGAATAAACTATTGTTCTCTGCTCTATTGTTTATGCCATAGTGAGCAGTAATTTCAGATTTCAGACACATGATCTGTTTCCTTCAGAGAGTTTACAGTACATTCAGTGCTTTCTCACCTAATTTTGTTCAGTTGGTATGTTCAATCTGAAATGCATTTCGTCTCACCATGTTGTCTTGGCCTCTCTCAGAACTGGTACAAGGAGGCCAACAAGAGCTTCATGCCCACTGGTTACTCCCTGCCTCATGACACCCCGCTCATCAAGCAGGCTAAGATGAACAGCGTTGTCACCAGCAACGTAAGTACTGTCACAGCCTTGAATTATCCCATTCTGTTGACAGCGATTTTACCTTTTTGCTAATGTTTTTTGGATGTCACTTTACTACTTTTCGGGCAGGTGAAGTACAAGGAGGCCTATGAGATGACGAAGGCCAGGGCCTACACCCTTCATCCAGAGGGTGTCAATTTCGTCAACACGAGGAAGGCTAACAAAATCTCCAACGATGTAAGATAACACACTGCTGCTGCTATTGATGACATCAGAAACATTATTGTTAATGGAGATTTACATGACTACCGTGTTACACTTTTACTGGATTAAAAAAAATCTCATATATTGACACCTTTCTTTTCCACAGCGTCTGTATCGGCAAGACTACCACAAGCAGAAGGACAAGATCCACACAACCTACGACACCCCTGATATCAAACAAGTCAAAATGAACCAGGAACACCTCAGTGACGTACGGAGCCATTTTCACACACTTTATATCATCCATGTTCCCATTTTTATTCATGGAGTTCTATATAGTATGTTCTATTCATACCACCTTTTTGTTCTCCTCTCATTCTAGTTGTGCTACAGAGAGAAATACTACAACAGCAGAGGCCAGCTGATCTCTATGCCCATTACGCCCCAGCTTATGCACTGCTACCACGTCAATGAGATCACCAGCGAGGTGTGGTGACAAAGACATACGTTTGATACAGATTTTCACAAAATTCACTTTAAAAGTTTTGTTAAAATGTTTGCTGAAACCATTTTGTGTTTTTTAGCTGAAATACAAAGAGGATCTGATGTGGCTAAGAGGCATGGGCTGCTTCTTGTACGACACCCCAGAGATGGTCCATGTCCGCAATATCACCAAACAGAGGGTAGGTGTTTTCATTTGCATGGAACATCCCTTTATATCAGTATCATAATAAACTTTCTGTAGTGGCATGAGGATCATTTGTGTGGCCTGTTTTTCACTTTTACAGGTGACCTATCCAGTGGAGGCTAAGAAGAACCTTGCCAACTTCTCTGTGGTTCTGGACACGCCAGAGTATAAGCGTGTGACTGAGCTTAAGACCCACATGAGCAACGTGAGTGGTTTTCCCAAACACACTTTGTCACATTATATAAACAATTTCATATTGTCAAGTAGCTAGTACTTAGTAGTTAAGGAGAAATGCAATAGCTTGCACTGTCTCAGAAATTTGTTTGTATTCAGTCAGAAATAAATATTGCCAGAGCTTTGATTGAGCTTCTGACTTGACTTTTTCTGCTCCTCTATTTTCAGCTCATCTACAAAGCCCAGGGCAAGGAGGAAATGGCAAAGGTCACTACCACTCTGGACGCTGTGGACATCCAGAGAGCCAAATGGGCCCAGCTGCTGACTAACAAAGCAAGTTCAGATATGCAATTGCTCATTGAATTTATTGTTTTATACACATACGTTTTCTTTTCCTGATAATCTAATCATTATTTTGTCTGTTTTTCTACAGTACAAGTACACCGATTTGGCTTCTAGGGAGAGAGCTCATTTCACTCCAGATCCTGAAACTCCAAACATGGAACATGCCAGAAAAATGAAAGTAGTCTACAGTGAAGTAAGTCTTTCCCCTTATGCATTTCTTGTTTTAGCATATGTTTTCTTGCTGTTTATCAGTGGGCTATCACACACTCATGATAATAGTGTTTGTATTTATATTCAATGATATTTTATGTTCCTGATGAAGATTATTTCTTCCCTTAGAACAAATACAAAGAACAGTATGAGAAGATGAAGCACAGATACACAGCCATTGCTGATACACCTCTCCTGATCCGTGCCAAGAAATCCTACCTCCAATCCAGCGATGTGAGTATGCTCATTGGCTTACATTCATAACAAACAGTAATATATCAGCGCCATAAGCAGGGAAGAGCATTTCTTTTTCATTTTTAATCATTTGTAGTTTTCCCTGTAGTTCTTCTGCTCAACCAGTGTTTGAATTTGGAGAAATATAATGCCATAATAGGATGAAAATACTACGTACGCTAGGAGAATTTGTGTTTGGGGAACATCTGACACATACTGTTCTTCATGTTTTCAGCTGCGTTACAAAGAGACCTTTGAGCTCTCCAAGGGCCACTACCACACAGTCAAGGATGCTCTGGACATCACCTACCACCGCAGAGTCACTGATGACATCAGTGAGGTCAGCAACTAAAATAAGCTGTTTGATTATTTATAAACATATATTTTTTGTAAGATCATTGTGATTTTAACTCTTCCATCTCTCTTGCTGTTTTTCCTCCATCTCTCTACCACAGGTCAAATACAGGGAGAAGTACATTAACTCTCTGGGTACATGGAAGTCAATCCCCGACCGTCCTGAGTTCTTCTTCAGCAGAATTGTTAATGATAACGTCAGCAGCGTAAGTACTGTTGACTTGTATTTATAAATGATGCACTCTGTGTTAAAATATTTACCCACAGTAGGTTGAAGGCCATGTTGTATCACTGACATGTAATATTTGAATCAAATGTATGTCCCTCTTCAGGTCAAGTACAAGGAGGACCTGGATTGGCTGAAGGGCATTGGCTGCTATGTGTGGGACACACCTGAGCTGGTGCAGGCTGAGAGGAACAAGAAGCTGTACAGTGAGGTGAGGATCTATTTTGTTCATACAGTTAATTTGTAATGTCAATAATTTGATAGAATATTGCAAAATCATATATGAAAAGTATGCTTTTTATTGTTAATATCTTTAATGGAGTGTTATATTTTCTGCATGTTTATAATAACAGTTTCATTTCTTGGTAACAGAGACTGTACAAAGCCTCCTTTGAGAAGAACAGAGGAAACTTCAAGTATTCCTCAGACACTCCATTCTTCCAGGCCGCCAAGAACGCGTCCGTTCTCATCAACGATGTGAGTCCTTTCATTCTTTAACCCAATACAGTTATTACATTTGTTTTTGTGTATCAAAAACTCTTATTATTATTATTATTATTATTATTATTATTAGTTTGTTGAAACCATTTGTTATATAGACATTTTAATCATCAATGGCATTTCTCTGTCTCTGTGCATCTCTATGGGACTCTCAGTTTGGAGGTAAAAGAGCATGAATGTATAGTATTATTTGATTATTGCCTATAAAGTTTATAACCTGCTCTTTTTCTGTGTAACCATAATACCAGGTGTTTAAAATGTGTCCATTGTTCTTCAATATCAACTTAACCTTCCTTTGTCCCTTGGAAAAGTCTCATCACATGATAGTACGCATTGTTTTCTGGACCTTTGTCTTTAACTACCTTCTGACATTCTGAGCAGAGGGTCTACAGAGCTAATTATGAGAAGACCAAGGATAAATTCACCATTACTACAGATGATCCTAGATACCAACTGGCCAGGGAGAACAATAAGATGAGCCAGGTAAACGCCCTGGTCGTGCTGTATGACTGGCCTGCCTCCTCCGCTGCAACCTCCAGTCCACTCCTCCAGACCTCTGACACTGGTGCATGAGGTCATTGTCAGACCTGCCGGTGGTTGGCGTCGTCGCATGGCTATGATAGTCCTTCCAACACGATAAATTTATGTATCAGCCTCAGCTCGTTCTCTCTCTTTCTTTTCGTCCCTCACAGGTTGTTGCAAACAGTGCCGCTCAAATAGCAGCTGGAACGCTATCTTGAGTGAGCAGGACTCTCCTTCATCTGTACTATCAGAGAGACGGTTCAATCACTACTTAACTAAATTAAGCTAATTAAATCTTGAATATGCCAAAACAAGCCATTATCAAAGCTGAAGATGATGAATTCTGTCACTCTGATGGGACAGATGAGGACAAACAGCTCCTCCGTCACACTTGGATCTCTGGAGTACTTCTCCAGTCCTCCCAGTGTTACTGCTGTTCTTCATGTGTCCTCAACTATGGCATGCTGTGTGTGTCGTTGTGTGTGTGGACAGGCATTGTATAAATCCAAAGCAAAGGATCTGCTAAAGAGTGGCTGCAATGAGCTACTCCGCCCTGACATCCTCACAGCCCTTTACCAGTCCACTATGGGCAGTAAGGTAAACAGACACAGAGTGGTGAGCCATGGTAACTCTGATCCCTGTCCACAAACAAGCAGAAAATGAGCCATGTGTTGTTTTTAGAAAGTCACCAGGTTTACTTTCTTTCTCCCTGCTGTTTCTGGACAAGGTCTTACCACATCCCATACTCATCCCGTAGAAACTCCTTTGCTCCACTTTAACTCCTAAAGGGGTTTTTAACTTCCACGCATTCCACTCATGCTCTAATCCCTCCATCACCTATTAACTTCACCTCATGTCTCATTGATTACCTAACCCTTGATTACCTCATCTTAAAATGCAGTGCAGTAGTTGCCCAACAGGCATACAGACATACCTAGAGTCAGATATGCAGCAAATTGCACCATTACCACATTTTATTACATTAATTAATTAATGCTAAACATTAAAACCTCGATTTTAGACTTTTCTTTTGTAGACAATTAGGAGCCACTCTGTAAATACTACTAAAATGCAAATCAAAAGTATGACATTTTTTTATTGTCTCAACCTCATCTTTATTGAGTCAGCTCTGTATTATCAGGCTCAGAGTCAGTCAGCAGTAGCATAAGATGGACTGTTGGTCACCATGAACTTTGTGGGCAATGCAGACATTCATGACTAATTAGTGGTAACACGTGTCGTCCTCTTTATTTTCACCTGGAAAATAACTCCCTCAATGTTTGTGCATGTTTCATAAAGCATGTTTTTATAGACATATGCATGACATTTCATTCATCAGACACACTGTTATTTTTAGTCAGGTTATAGTTACATAATACATGTTAGTCAACTGTTTCTGACTTCGCTATATTGTTAGAGAACTGTCCAAAACAAACAAGAGCAGTAGATGAAAGAGTAAAGAATCTAGTTGTTTTATTATGTAATAATAGAAAGTGAATGTTTAAACTGATTTTCTTAGACAGTTTTTGTATTTACTCTAGCTGCATAAATTAAAAGCAAGGCTAGTTGTCAGAATACACATAAATAAAAGCAAATGATTATAGCGGCATATTGATTATGAGTGATACTAACTTTTCTTTTTACACGTTATCGTCCTCCATCAGTGGAGGTACAGGGAGCAGTATGAACGTGCCAAGGACAAGTTCACCTCTGTTCTGGAGACTCCTGAGTATGAGGCCCACAAACGCAGCAAGAAAATCAGCGATGTAAGTTTTTGATTTGTTTTTGTCGAGTGGGTTAAATGTTTAAGTCAAAATTAATTATTCCTAATGATTTTTTTTTTCATGTTTTGGTGTCTTTTGAAATGTTCCTGACTATGTGATGATTATTATTCCTTAGATCATCTATAGGATGGAGTACAACAAGACCAAGGCTAAGGGATACACCTTGCCTTATGACACTCCACACCAACAGCACATGAAGAAGGTTAAGGACATCACCAGCAATGTAAGTCCCACTCAGACTAGCTGCACTTTGAACACTTTTTACAGAGACACAGAAAGACAAAATATGAACTACTTTTTGTGTTTGGTGGTTTGTTTTTCATGCAGCTCAAGTACAGAGAAGTGTATGAGAAGAGCAAGGCCCAGATCAACATGGACCCTGAGGCTCATGAGATCCGCGCTGCGAAGGAGGCCTACAAGAACATCACCAATGTAAGTGTCTTTAGCAACAGTATCAAGAAATATCAATTTCTGTTCTATGTTGATTCAAGTTTAACATACGACACATCCAATGTTTTTACGTTTTTAGCTTGACTACAAGAAGAAATATGAAGCCACCAAGAACAAGTGGATCTGGACAGCCGACAGACCTGACTTCATCAATGCTGCCAGGAACTCCTTGCAACAGAGTGATGTGAGTTGCTTCTTCTTTCACTGTGTGTGTTTTATGTGTGATTTTTTTTCATTTTAACAACACCAGACAGTGTTGCTCTAATTTTGCTCCCATTGTTTCACCGACAGGTTGAGTACAAGTATGACAAAGAGATGATGAAGGGCTGTGTGATACCTGTGGTTGACGACAAGTTGACCCTCCTGGCTATGAAAAATGCTGAAATGGCCAGTGATGTAAGTTTTTCCATGCCTTTATTACCATCTTTATGATAAAATGTGAGTTATTTGAGATGACTAAAGCATCTTTAGTCATCTCAAATAACAAGACTGCTTCAGAATTTAATGTTTTATGTTTAACATGCGCCCCCCTAGGTGAAGTACAAAGAGAAGTATGAAAAGGCAAAGGGCCACTACATGCCAGTCCAGGACACTCCTCAAATCCTCCATGCCAAGGCTGTGCGCACTCTGGCATCAGAGGTAAGTATCATTCAGTAAAAAGTCAACCATTTTTTGTACACTTAAGAATTTTCTACAGGTTAAGAATAGAGTTGAGAATGGGTGAAATTCGGGACAGGGGAAATGGGGGTAGATGTGATCATGGGGCTACTTATTCTAAGTGTCTCTGGTTGTGAGTACACATGACCCATTATGCACAGTTGACAAATAGCAGTCTTTTCAGATATTCATTGTCATGTCATTAAGCTATACGAGCTTACAAACACATTTTCTAGATATTATCACAAATTACTCATCTGGTTTAAAACAGGTCAGATGACATCAACAATCTGTTATTTATGAGAGCCATAGCAGTGCAATAGACAAGTAAAAACAATTTAATAATACTCTTACATATATTACAAAAAACAAAAAGTAAATAACTTAATAAATTAATGTCGACTAATACTACTCATTTAATGAAAAAGGTTATCTCATTTGAGTCTTTTTTATTCTGGTGAAAGCAGCAGCTTGTTGGCATATCTCTGTTATGTTATTAAATATTCAAGACTCAGCATACACACAGTTCTTGTTTTTAAAACTAATAAAAAAGGATCCAAGTTGAATTTCAGTACAATAGCATTAGCAAACTCTTGTTTGTTTGTTTTTCCCTACATAAATCACATTCATTTAACTTTAATATTCTTTCCCCACCTGCAGTGGCTCTATGCTCCACCAGAGGAGCTTGCCTCACAATTGCATTATACTAAAAAGCATTATGCATGACTTTAATATGTGTTCTTCATTTTCATCCACAGAGCAAATACAAGGAGGCCAGTAAGAAGGACATGCAGTCTGGTTCATTCACTACCCTGCGTGAGACTCGTGACACTGTCCACAGCAAGGAGATCAACAAGCTTGTCAGCGGAGTAAGCCCATCTCACATTTATTTTATAACATGAGCTCAGCCGTCTCATAATGCTGTTCTATATTTTTGCGGCTCGCTTTGACATCCATTTTTGTCTTTACAGAAATTGTACAAAGCGAAGTTTGAGAAGGATAAAGGCAAGTCAGAGTATAACAACATGAGTGTTCCACCTGATGTCCAGCATGCCATGGCAGTGGCCAAGAATCAGAGCAGCGTAAGTCATATTCAAAGTTGTGCTAAAACATATTGATTATAATTTCCAGCATATTAACTCTACGTTGAGATAGTTTCACCTCTCCTGTTTCTTTTGTCAGTTTTTGCCACATGCTTTATTCTGCCTTTTCATCTGCCCAAACCCACAGGTTTCCTACAAGAAGGATGCCAAAGCCAACCTGCACTACACTTCTGTTGTGGACCGTCCTGACATAAAGAAGGCTACCCAGGCTGCCAAACTTATCAGTGAGGTAATCAATGCATGGAAAAAGCTCACAGGCAGAAATATGCAGAATCTCAGTGTGTACAAGTCTGTTTTTTTACTCACACAGTTAGTCATGAATAGATGTAGACTCACATATGAATATGTCCCACCACTCAGTGCAAGTTATCTGGCCCTTTAAGGAGAAGAACGGCAAAGCAGAAGTGCGAATATGTCACTGGCACCAGCCATCACCCACTATGAAGTCCACCACTGCAGTTTGTACATTGTTCACTGATTCTTGTTTGGTCTTGTCTCTACCAGATTGGCTACCGTGACAAGGCCCGCGAGGAGGCCAGCCGTGGAGGTTCTCTGGCCCACCGCCCAGACATCGCTCTGGCCACTGAGGTGTCCAAGCTGACCAGCCAGGTACAGCGACCACAATCAATCGTCTGTCTCATGAAGCCTCATGAGCCAGTTGTGCTGCATTCCCACAGATTCTGTACGGTTATCATCTCCTTGAAATTGTTTCACTTTATTTTACATACAAGATGGCTGGAGTCTGGAAGCCATATTACACCAGTTATGATCATCAGCTGTCTGCCACTGTCAGATCCTTCATTAAGCTAATATTTGCAGACTAGTATTGCTGTGGTAGATGCTTAGCAGCAGTCCTGTAGGCCTAACGATAGAACTAGCAGCTCTTCCATAGCGCTTCCTCTGCCATCCTGCATTATAATCCATGTCTTAATCTGTTGTTGTGATTCCATGAAAGTAGATTTACATGTTTAACTGCTCATATCATTATACATGTCTCACCTTCATCTTTAAACCTGTCCTCTTAAACTGCTCCTCTTCCTCTATCCTTCTATACTTTACCCTCAATATTCCTCATCTCTGTCCTTTCCTCTCTCCTTCCATAATGTCCGAGTCTGTGTGTGTTCTCATCCCTTCATCTCACTGCGCTTTGTAGGTGGAGGCCAAGCCCTCCCTCCATGGAGCAGCTTCCTATGATACCCCCCAGATGCGCCACATTAAGAAAATGAGTGCCGTGACTAGTGATGTAAGGAGGTTCATGTCCTGAAACTCAAGGGCTGCTACTATGTGTCTGTCTCCTCTGTCTTTCTGTTCCTTTCCCAATATGTTGACTGACTGATTAGTTGATTTCTGATCTACTGCAGCGTTCACTGAGCCTTTTTATAAAAACAGATTTGATCCGAATTATCAAATCTTACAAAGTTATTATGTTGGTTTGGCTTGCAACCCTTTTTTGTGCAGTTCAGCATTATGTGCACCCTCTGCTCTTTTGTTTCCCTGACAAGCTATGCCTTATTGCTAAGCATAGACACGCATTGCATTACTGCTTTTGTTGCACTGGTGCCAATACTATATGTTAATGAATCTATTTATTTTGTTCAGCATTTTTATGATTTTCCCACTTTTCCCACTGACTCATTCAGTCAGTGTGGCTGTCACAAAACATGTGTATATCCACTAGTCAACTATGAGTTACTTCCTTTTTGATCTGAACCCTAGTGGGCAGTGTAGGCTTTTTTAAATGTTGGTACAAAGTTAACATTGCAGATTAATTCATTATTAACACTGGATTTACACATGTTTTTTTTAAGGATATTGCTTTCTCTCACTTTCTCTCTAAAGCTGACTGATCTGCAGAACAATCCAGACTCTCTCTGAACCACAACCACAATCACACTGTTCACTTCCATATATACTTTATTATATATGAAGTCCATGTCGTGTTTACGTGGATCACAGAATGTATTAGACTCTGTTCACACTTGGCACTAAAATGCATTATGGGGTGGTCAGATCAGAGGTGGGTTAAATGCACATAAAGGGTTAGGGTTACCAAATAATACCATATAGTGTAGCGGTAATATAAATGTAGGTCAACTTAGTCAGCTGTAACAACACAGCTGAAACAACATAAGGTAAGGATCAAAATAGTGACAACAATTACAGTTTAGCAGCAGTTTCCAACTGAACAAATCAAATAGGAGTAACCAATTGTCACTTGAGATGCATTCTAATGTCAAGTGTAAACTGCAGTCCACTTCAGCTAAATCCAGGCACAGGCAGGATACATCTGGATGCAAGACATTAAGTCTGAACAGCATCTCAGGACATCTCCACAGCTGAACTGTTTGGTCTGATTTAGAAGAATCCTCACATGATTACTTTATTAATGTGGCAAATGCTGCCAGACAAACTGCAGTGTAAACCCAAACAACAACAATAACAACAAGCAAACGGTAGTGCAGTTGGTTTGCATTTAGAAAGAAATTCGGACGAACCACATAGTTTGTGTAATATAAATTCAGATTCACCTGATTTGTCTTATAGGTATTCACTACAGATGATGTGCTTATAACAAACTGTCTGTTCATTTGTTCTTTAAAGACAAAATGAACCCTTTGAGTGCACTTTTATCTAAAGGGCCTCACTGAGATTAAAAGTCTCTTTTGCAGGAGTGTGCCGACCAGAATGAACTCTTCATGTTTACATATCAGGAGTCGTTTGTGATATGACAGAATGAGCTATTTAAAAACCAGGAACATAATACAAAATAGAGGACTTTCTTCTCAAGCCTGGAACCAAACGGCAGATGTGAACACACCCATAGAGGCCGTCTTACTCTCTAAGACTAATTAGCACTATGTTTGATGAATGAAAAAGGCAAATGAATAGATGCATGAAAAAACACTTTCAGAGGAAACAGTTTGACTACAGTTCTTCTTGTATAACAAGGGATACAGACCAAAGTTAATACTTTAAAGCATACGGTACGCAGCATATCAACAGCATTTACACAAGCATTCCTATAAGGAATCTGAGTTACTCATCCCTTTTTATACACTCCATAAATGCATAATGTTCTTTAAATGTTTCCAGTGGGATGGAGTCTGGGAACCTGGCACTGTTTTTTCCCTCCCCAGCAGGTACCACTCACACTAACTCTCACATATATCCCACCCCAATAGGTGAAGTACAAGGAGAAGTTTGACAAGGAGATGAAAGGAAAGAGACCACAATATGACATGAAGGAGAGTAAGATTTACAAGACACTGAAGGATGCCAGTGAACTGGCTAGTGAGGTGGGTGCTCACACAACCGGCATCATTTCACATCACCAACAAGACGGCCTAATTTCTTTGTTGTTCTCTGTTTATGTAATAAAAAATAAAAAAATAATAGTAGTTCCTTATTAACATAATAAACCCTTTAAGGCTAAAACCGACTAAGCCCAAATCTGTCATAAAACCTTATCAATAATCTAAGGCAATGACCATATAAGTCTAAGTCTAAGTCTCTTTCTAATATATCAGTTACAAAGGTCACCCACTGTGAGTTATGTTCATTTTGTAATTATAAGTGGGTCTGCTAACACCATCTGCAGGTGAAGTACAAGGGTGACCTGAAGAAGATCCACAAGCCTGTGACTGACATGGCTGAGTCTTTGTCCATGCAGCATAACCTGAGCACCAGCAAACTGTCCAGCCAAGTAAGATCTCATCAGCCTTTAACCCCTCTCTCACTCCCTCCCAGGAAGCTACTGGGAGTCAGTTCAGTTTCAGTGCGTCCTCTGTGGTTCACTGAAACGGGTCTGAACTCAGTGTTTCCGTCACCCCACATACCACTGTAACAATCGACATGCTGCAGATTATTGACCATCATCCAAACGTCCATTATTCTGTGACCTCATCTGGTAGTGACCCTTACCCTTCTCACCCTTTACCCTTTGACCTCTGCCCTTCCCATACTATCACCTATTGTAACCTCTACTCCCTTCACTCTTTTGTTCTGATTTATTTCCTCCTGTAGTTTGTACAAACCTAGTTCTTTTTTATTAATGATCACTTAACAAACCTCCCTTCTCCATTGACACTAGATCATTTTTCACTTAATTCTTAACTACCTTTTTTAATTTTCACTTGTTGTTTTGTCAGCATGTCATATTTTTTGACATTGCTAAGACCTGTTTTCACAGTTATAATGTTACAATTTTTGTTTCTGTCATAAGATATGTTTTTTTTGTACTATGCAATGGATGGGAGTAAACCCCAGACAGACGCTCTTTTTCTCGTTTGCTGTACTGAGCTCTCTTACTTGACTGGGAATTCCCCCGTAGTACTGCTACAAGAAGAAATTTGAGGAGAGTAAGGGTCACTACCATATGATTCCTGACACACCAGAGCAGCTTCATCTCAAGGAGGCCTCTGAACTTCAGAGCAACGTAAGTGGTACAGACTCTGGGGGTCAACAAACACTCCACAAAGCACTACTGTGAGTTTCAACTGTTAACTATTTTCTTAAAACAGATGTGTACATGATATCTGCATCTCAGATCAAAATTTCCTGCACTCGCGGGAGGCTGGTGCTGCAATATAATTCCAGCAGAGATAACATAATACACATTTGGGTAATAAATTAGCTTTAACCTAAATGTGTGACAGTACATCAAATGGTAACATTTATTTACAAATGAAGAATTTCAAATGGGTCAAAAACACCTGCAACTGAACTAAGATTATTACTTAATTAAAAACAAAAAAAGTCTAAAGAATTTACAGGCAGAATATCATTCTTGAAAGGACCACACATTGCCTTTTTTTATGACTAAAAAAGACTTGTCATGACTTTATGACTATGGTATGGAGTCATTAATGCCCAGACAATATAATGATCAATTATTCAATTATTAAAACATATCTGAGTTGTGTATTTATTTTTGATACATTATCAGTATGAGATAATGCAGTATAGACTCAAATGTATCTGCATTTACATCAACATTAGCATTACAGTAGAAAAAAATAATGCTGATTTCTGTTCCTATTGTACTGAAAAGAATGGGAACCTTTATATACGGTACCTACCACGATCAAATTGCCTGTTGAAAACAACTGACATTACATTTGTGTGGGCTGTTCCAGGTGAAATACAAGGAGAAGTATGAGAAGGAGAAGGGGAAGGCCATGCTGGACTTCGAGACACCCACATACGTGACTGCTAAGGAGGCTCAGCACATGCAGAGCCAGGTAAACACCCTGTCTGTCTCCTCTGTGTTTAAAACGGCTGCAGAAGCAGTGCACTTTACAAGTCTCTCTCTCAGTCTGAAGACTCAGTGCCTGCCATGTATTAACCTGTATTATATATAATGCCTCTAATGTTATATATTGATATGTTTTGCTTGTTGGATGTCCAGCTATTGTTTATATTAGACTTACTGAATGTTTGGAAAAAACTTTTACAGTGCCTTTAATGCCAGTTGTAAATCAAGGTTATTTGATTGATTAGTTGATTTTGTTCATTTTTGGACAGTTCAGATCAGTAAATTGTTGTTCACAGTGTTAGTCCTTCACCATTTTCCACACTTAACTAGCTGTGCTTATAATAAAAAAAACTGGAGGAAGGCAGTGTAAAATGTGCTTAAATTAAACTTACTCAACGCTTTGTGTATTGTTGCTCCCTAATATCATACTGTCATGATGCAGGGATTACAAAGGTAAAGTATATGCTTGTCTCAGTCTGTGAACATTTCTATGGAGCCTGGATTATAGATTTTTACATTATATGTTTCAATATCATCAGTTAACACATTCATTTTGATTATAATTTTTCCTGTGGAAAAGACTCTATACATTATAGTTACTTTCTCACACTTCACAAATGCTCTTATACACATGCACAAATGCACACATGTAAAGAATGCACATATAGAGATGGGTGTCATTATAAGTATGAGGATGATGCAAACCTTGATGAGGTAACTGCATTGTGAACTAGCACTGCTTGCATGTGGTTGTCTGAGCTCTGTCTGTCCCCTGTCTTATCTCTGTGGCGAATAGAAAGACTATAAGAAGGACTTTGAGGAGTACATGAGGGGCAAGAACCTCTCAGGCTTGGAGGTCACCCCTGCCATGATACATGTCAGACACGCCACCAAAATAGCCAGTGAGGTAACTAAAGGATAATTTGTCCCTGACCACCTCCCCTATTTATCTCACCCATGCTTTATAATCGTACTAAGACTATACCACAACCACGGTCCTGCTTTCTTTTCACCACTTTCCTTTTTTTAATCCCATATGTTTCCTCCTCATTTGAATTCTTGCAGGTCTGACCATGCTGTTGATTGCATGATTCACTACACAGCCATAAACTATTAATAATGCAACACTCATCCATATCTCTTCTCTCTATCCATTGTGTGACTTGTAGTAGAATAGTTTTGTTTATTTGTATTTATATCTGTATCCCGATTTTGGACTCCTAATTTCACAGTCAGACGGTTTAGGTTGAATAGTCTGCATGCATGCATGCAATCATTTGAATGATGCCGCAATGTTTTTAAGTGATGACTTGAATTGTTTTATTGTTGTTTCCATGATCTATCTGATAAAATGTGGTTTCTCCTTGTCTTTTATCAGGATTTTTGCCAAAGTCACCAATGTCTCCACTCTCTCTGTCAATATGTGACTGATTGTAACAATCTTCACATTCTTATAATGATATAATAGACCTAAACTCTGAATCCGTCACTGCTTGAGTTTCTTTTTTTTTTGATGGGAGGTTTGGTGACTTTGAGCTCAAAGGGGCAAGCAACAGTGCTTGCCCACTGTATTGTACTGTCTGTCTGTATGCCTTGGCCTGGCCTGCCTGTGTGCCCTTCTCTGCAGTCTCTCTGTTCTTCTTCCGTCCTGTAGAGAGAGTACAGGAGGGATCTAGAAGAGGGAGTGAAGGGTAAAGGGCTAACTTTACTGGAGGAAACTCCGGAGCTTTTGAGAGCAAGGAATGCCACTCAAATCCTGTGTGAGGTACGATTGAGTTAGAGGTGATGGAAACGGCATCACGCTCTCAACCGAGTGCCTTCCCACAATCCCGCTGAATCCTATCCCCTTAACCGAGCTTCATCATCACACTAAAAGGGCAACGGCTGAGACTGACACTTGTTCCTGCTTTGTGACATGACTAATTTTCCAGCATTTTCCTTCCTCTGATGTTTATGAAATGTCCTCATAAGCGTAAATTGATCTTCACCTTATTTCCCTATGATTTTCTCTTATACTACTGCAAATATTCCTAAAATCAACCTCAAATGTACTCAAAGCGTATTTTATTTTTTGATTTAACATGTAATATTGTATATTCTCAATATTCTATACTTTAGTTTATAGTTCACTTGGGTATATTACAGCACACATAGACAGGCAGTCACAGCTCACCTGCAATACAGGAGGAACAAGAGAAATGCTTGAAAATGTGATCAGGGTACAAAAAGCCATGACCTTAAATCATTTTAACTGATTATTTTGTCCATATGCTCTGGGAGGCTTTTGAGGTTGATGTTTGGAGTGCATGATAAATGTAGCACTGTAAAGCAGTTGAGATTAAAGATAGATTTAAATGAACTTTAACTTTGTCAAAAGTGACTAATTATGCTTTAACAGTTTAACAGTTTCTTTCAGTTTTGAGTGGAGCTTCACACACTCCGCTCTCCAGTTATCATATTTGTTCTTTAAAAAGAAATCCTTAATTTCTTCTAACCTTCTTTATTCACCATTCCCCTAGGCCTTTTGGTTTTGCAGCCCTCCCCCTGATATGAATAAGTAGATCCTGTTATTTATAGTAATTTACCAGTAATGTCTGCTTTTAGCAAGTGTGGTGCATTTATGTAACACTTTATCGACTGTAATATTTACAGAGAGAGTACAAAAAATCACTGGAGCAGGAGATCAAGGGCAAGGGAATGTTGGCTTTGGCTACAGACACCCCGGACTTCATGAGGGCCAGGAATGCCACTGACATCCTCAGTCAGGTCTGAATCATATTATATAACACATTGAATTACTTTTGAGTAGTTTATAATTTGTATTTTGATGGGCAGAAAAAAATTTGCTGTAATTTGTAAAATACATTGGGAGCTTGTACTGTATTTGTGTATTTGATTAAATTATCTTTATTCACAAACAAGACACATTTTTATCTTCAGACTCAAGGCCACTAAATGCCTAAAATGTGATAATATCGCTTTGTATAGAATTCTTTTACATTTTTAAACTACAAAAAACTTAAATATATTTTCTCATATTTTATTTTGATATATTTGATGATAAAGTATTTGTAATTTGCTAGATACTGTATGTATTTGTGCCCATCTCTGCTCACAATCTGTGCTGACTGATAGTTTTCTGTTCCTTAGACTAAGTACAAGCAGACCGCTGAGATGGACAGGGCCAGCTACACATCTGTCATTGACACCCCAGACATCATCCATGCTCAGCAGATGAGGAACATTGTCAGCCAGGTAGAATACCGAAAGATTTCTTACCTGTACATCTGGAGACACCAGTACTGAAATACTATCTAAATCAATTTTAAGTCTATTTCAATTCAAATTCCTGCTGTTTGTGTTTTTGTCCAACAGAAAAAGTACAGAGAGGAAGCTGAAAAGACCATGTCTCACTACGTGCCAGTCCTGGACACCCCGGAGATGCAGAGAGTCCGTGAGAACCAGAAAAACTTCAGCACTGTAAGTAACCGATGTAAATGATGAGCTATGCTGGCTGTCACTGGGGCAGCATGTATTTGAGCGTTGTACTACAGCGTTTGACCTACAGTATGAAATCAGAGGTTCTTCCAGTGTCTGTTGGCTCTGTGTTTGTCTCAGTGTTTGCTGTAAAGTATTATCCTCAATACTTTTGTATGGTTGTAAATGAAGCGTCTTGAGTTCTTGTACGTAAAGCAGTGTTGTGTTTTACACAGTTGTTTTACTCAGTGAAAATAGCTTTTAAGATAATCCTGAGCAGAAACTAAGATAAATGTTTTTTTGGTCATATGAAAAGTATTTTCTATTCTGGTTTTGTATTTTTTTTCTTTTTTTCTGTTTACTTCCTTATCATTGTGAAACATTTTAACTGCACCTTTGTTTTTCTCCTTATAGCTTCAATACCAGATTGACCTTAAAAACATAAAGGGCAAAGTGTCTACTATAAAGGACACTCCTGAAATGCTTCGTGTTAAAGAGAATACAAAGAATTTCAGCTCGGTATCTACTCCAAAATATATATTTTAACATTTAACATTTTTCCTTGATTTTTTATTTAATTTTTTAACTTTTTTTCTCATCTTTAACAAACCCTGATATGCAGCCCTAATTTCTTTAGACCAAACAGATATTACTTTAACCTTTAGCAGCATTTTAATTCTCGCAACTAACCCATGACAATTTGTGGTATAGTGTAACATTTATACATTTATACTCTGTTAGTGCAGAGCTTGTGTGTTGTTAAATACTTTGATCATGTTTGTTGTGGAAGTGTCCAGAGAAAATTTGTCCATTTAAACATCGAGTTTGTTTCATTCCATGTGTTTATGTAGATGTGTGTCCAGTTTTGCTCACACAGCTAAATCAAGCAGCTAGTCCTCATTATCCAAGAGTTTAAATCAGGCTAACCACTGGTTGCTGCTTTCATTTCTCATTCATGTAAAGATTCAGTACAAAGAGGATTTGGGAGCGGGAACAGCATTGCCCGAGACCCCAGAGATGGAGAGAGCCAAACGCAACCAGCAGAACATTAGCACGGTACTCTACAGAGTGACCTGCCCTCCATCATCTCCTCCTCAACCAGTCTTCCCTCCATATTCCGTCCTTTTCTAGTGTAGAACATAACCAGACCTGTCCTGACATGTAATCTCTTCAAATGATTTTTTCAGTTTTTACAGACATTATTTATCATACTTTTTAGGTTTTTTTTTTACTAATTACAGGATTCTTATGATATTTCATTACATCTAAACCCTGAAGTAATTAACTAAATATCATCCATTTTAAAGCAGAAACAATGTCCCCAACTACAACTGAAATATGTGAAAGTGGGTTAAACTAACAATGTGTTATTGTGGGTTGTTCCAAAGTGTATGCTGTTGTTATGAATGGATGGATGTGTCTGTGTCTACAGTACATACTATATGTTTGTCCCTGTCTTACTCTGTACTTGTGTAAC